GAAAAATGTTATGCTCTTACAGTTGGATCCTATATGATACTGGCTTATTTTTGAATGTAGAGGCATGTAATCAAGGCAACGTAAAATAAATCGCACTTTGCAAATGACTCATCCTGTTTATCTTTTAATTATAACTTGGGTGGAAAAGTTCATATGACTGTAGTATATTTATTCAAATAAATAAATAAATGTGAATGACCTATTCAAAATGCAGTTATGTCTTGAGTCAGTTTCTACTTACTTTTTCTACTTTAAGTCTGGTTTGGCAGTGTCTTTACATAGCTTTTAAAATTGTTTTTGTGTGGTGCCTGCAAAGCTAATATAATCTCATTTCAGTCACAGGTCACCTTGGCTTAGATCTTAGCACAATAAAGGTATTACCGGTAAGACAATAATCTTGACCAGGATACATAGCGATATAATATGAACGGAATATGACACAACACTTATTTTTATCTGATGATTAAGTGATGAATAGGTCTTTGAAGTAAATGGGTAAGAAGATTAAGAGTAAATAATAGTAATCCACATTAGAAGAGAACACCTTTAATTCAAGGTTATGAATGTGGACAACAACAGTTTGTAAAGAGAAGTAGATGCTTACGTTTGTACGGTTCAAACACAGATTTACTGATAATTAATTGAAAAGGTACTTTTCTCCAAGGAGTATACAACTGAATGAGCTCAGTGCTCTGTGTTATATACAAATCCTTTATTCATAAATGTATATTGTTTTATTCACTGCAATAAATTTTGAACGAGAGGACTTTTATGTAAAAGGGATCATATCCATATTTGTATTCATCATATCTAAAGAGTTATTGGGAAAAATAATAATTGGTGATCATTTCACTAAATTAAGTCTCTTTTAAGAAAGTATACATTTTAAAGTAAATTCAGATACCTTCAGGAGCAGACAAACATACAGTTAAAGAAGAAAAGAGTTATCTATGCTCATTAACATTCTACTTAATATGTTAGTTGAACCAATAAGATACATGGGATTCATAAAGCCTTACAGCTATGGGCTGGGTTACAACTTTGCGAATGAACCACCAGTACCTATCCCTGTTAGCCCATGAGTGAAAGGCAGTATACAGCCTGGACAGGTAACCAGTCTGTTGCAGTAAACAATCATTATGATCCTTTTTGTGTTCAGTTTATTTGTCGTGTGCAACAGTTCACTTTTCAGCTTCCTTTCATCTTGTTTTATTTTTTCAGTAAGAAAAACCTTGTATCAACATGATGCACTCACTTAGTGAACTAAAATTACAAAGAATTGTTTGTTGGATGGAGATACATCCCTTAAAACAACTATCGTACCTCGAAACTAAGGATTCTGATGATTTACAGATGCTGCTTTAGCAAAACATATTTGACAGAACGATTCAGTACAATTTCTTACTGAATTTTTATGCATTTGCATTAGGCTTACCAATAGTTATACCAATAACATTTGCAGTATTACCTTTGTATACTCATAGGTCATTGAGAGTATGTTGAAGTGTGCAAGGCACTGTAGATAAGACAACGACCTCCAGATTTCAACAGAGGACCTACTTGTAAAGGCAAACCTGTCAGCAGGAAAATTTTATTTTGATCTCTAACAGGATAACGGATAATGCTGGGATTTTATGAGTAAAATACACATTTTTACTCATGAATTACATTTTTTCCCATTAAAAAAAAAAAATTAAAAGAGCACTTTTGTGTGTGTAAAGAATCTAGGCAGAATAGAAAATGAAAAGACAGGGTATTTCAGAGTTGATATTGTTTTTGGTATTGTTGGATAGTTCCCTTTAGCTGAGCTCTGACTTGTAAGACCGATTACTGCTCATAGTTAGCTGTTTTGGGGGTGCAGGTGGTGCAGTGGTTAGTGCGCCCGACCCATCTTCTGAGGCCTTAGTCCTCGACACGGGCGACCCGGGTTTGAATCCGGCCTGTGGTGCTTTCCCGCATGTCAATCTCTCATCCCCTTTCCTGTCAGCCTACTACCGAAAAAAAGCTTTAAAAAAAAGGCGTTTTGCTAACATGGGTTCTTGTAGCTTAAAGGTATAGTGGAGAATTTTCGCAGATTTTTGAAAAGACCCGCCCTCTCCATAAAAAAAAAAGCACATGTACAACCCTGTACCCGCTTCCGAGAGGGAGGTAATATTCGGGTGTAATAAACTCACATATCATCACTGATAATTATCCTAACAGCCCATTAAACATGTGCTAGAGCATGCACTAGCCCATTTCTCCTCGTGCACGCTCTGTTTAAAAGTTGCTGTTTGCATCGCTCATACAAGCTTACTTTCCAAAAGATTTGTAATTTTTCGACCATGTAAGACTCACCACCAGTAAGTGAAAATGTGGACGAGCATGCAGGACGGCCTTACGTAAACATATCACCACAATGATTGACAATAAGAAGGACCACTTAGTTTGATGAGTGGAAAAAGAAAATTCTCCACTATGCTTTAATTCCTGAATTAAAAGTATAGTGAACAAAGCTCATGTACAATAGATTCATGTAAATAGGAAATATCTGTTGTTAATAGATATACTCTGATAAGGTACTCAGAGAAAGTGAGTCCAGATAATTTAAAAGCTGGAGCATGCCAGGGATTAATACCCTAGGACTTTGTGTTGTGTGAATCTGTAACATCCTCAGTGCTGATTCTGTGCCATTTTCTCTTTTTAAAAAATCTCTTAATACTCTGACATTCCTATATTATTTTAATGTGGATCCGCTGTAGGAATTATTGACTTAGGCAGGTTTAAGTGAAATAATGTTGCAAAAACTATTATAGTATTTAGGAAGGTGCTCATAGCTACCGAGTCGGTAAATCTTCCTCTAACATGCTAAATATAGTAAATATAGTGATAAAAAAAAAAAAAAAAAAAAAGAGTTCATTTTATGGGTAAGGCCACTGTGTAGAGAATGGAAATCATTTTGAATTTGTATGGAAAACTTTATTTGATAATAAAAATAGCATCCACAGACTTCTTTTGATAGCTACATATACATTGTAATCCATCTGAAGGAAAAGAAGCTGGATAAGTCCACATCTACTTTAACTTTGACTAATGTTATGTATAGCTTCATGGGTCAAATAAAGCTATGAACAATGTAGTATTTATATATGCATAGTTATATAAAAAGGTTGGCCCATATACATGTACTGCTTTTATCAACACAGAGACATCATTATGTCTGGAGCACATTGCAAGAAATAATGCTTGAAGAACACAGACTGCATACAAGTGCTTTATAATACAAAGGCAGGCTAACCATAGAGAGATTCAAACCATTTAACAGCTATTGATTGACCAAATACAGTCTTACTTTTTCAAAATGTCTTTCCATACCTGACCCAGAGTAAGTCAACATATTTACCATAAATCAGCAGGTCCATTTCAGAGATATAAACACAATATCACATTCCTCAATGCAGAGGTTTTTCATAAATTTCTCTTTTGTGCAAGAAAAAGGCAACATTTTAAATCCTTGATGAGTTCCTAGTAGTTACATTGTGGGGGGTGGGTGGGGGGAGAGACTCTTTACAGGTGATGGCCAACCTATTACATGTGAAACTCTCTCTTTTTTGTTTGGTTTTGTATTTTTCTCTAATACAGTACCATAGTGAGACCAGTGATAAAACAATGCATTTGTTATGGTTCATCCAATATATAGTTCTTGTTTAAAATCAAAACATAAAACAGGAAGTTAACACAGGAACAAAAACATATGAAAAAGCAGCAGTCAGACTCCAGTGACTTGACAGCGTGGCTCAGAGTGGCAGAATCAGTATTCTCTTCTACCAGGCTCTCCATACGGTACCGTGTCGACAAACCTCATCAGCTCATTGTGTCAGGGACCAGGAGGTGGATGACGGGTGTAATAAATTTGGCTGGGCCAAGAAGAAGAGCAGGGAATTCCTTAAGCCTTACAAGGTGGTAACAGGGATAATTGACTCCATTATAATTTTTGGTATAATGAACATTCATAGTTCTAATCAGCTATAGCTGGTGTTATGGTAAAATGATTATTCCAAATCATTAAACAGGAATTTTTTTTTAGATACTTGGAGAACTCATTTGATCGTGAACAATTATAGTTAAACAGAGTTAAAAGAAACTCCTCCAGTTTGAAGAAGTAAGGTAATAAGCAATTAGTCTTAAAGAAAATAATCTCAGGCCCCAAAACACACATCTTCAGATATGTATTTTGTTCTTTCTGTATCTACAGTAGTAGTTCCATTTAAATGTTGTAATAACCATGCTGTACCAGTAGGTGGTTATAATACTGTCATTAATCATAATCGTAATTATTACTCAAATTATGATTGTGGCTTAAAGCGTGGTTAGGCTAAAGTTTCTCTCAAAACAGTTGTGGTTCAAGTTTCTTTTTGAATGCATTTATGATTTGATCTCAGTCAAAATGTTTGCACTCTGTTTAGCCAAGGAAGCAAAAGTGGGGATCTACAGTGTGGGCCTCCATGTTACCAATTTTGCTAATCGTCAGAAACCCAAATAACATATTTATACCATAAATCAACTCTTTTAAATGCTTCTAATTGGAAATAATTATTCCTATAAAAAAAAAAACTCAGCTCAAAGCTGAACTACTCTATATTGTAAACATCCATGGGACTGAATACATCTACCATCAGATACAAGTGTTAACACATTTGAAAAGGAAAAGTTGTAAAAATGTGGAGTTATGCCCTTTAACTTTTGCTTATCTTTGAAGTTTAAACGAAACAGCAGGACAAATCAGTGGAAAATCTTTAAAAATGGCTCAAAGGATATCATATTTTCCAGCAATGAAACAGCTATTAGGTGAAAAGTGGTTCTCCAGGCCACGTTTTTTACTTATCTGCAGGAATCAAGTTCACACACAGTTTTCAGAAATCTCCATTTTAAAATCTTTTTTAAAAATATATTTTTTTCATCAAAAACTCCAGTGTGTGTGTGTGTGTGTGTGTGTGTGTGTGTGTGTGTGTGTGTGTGTGTGTATTAGGTGGAAGCACAGCAGAAACTATCTGTGTTTGTGTAGACAGGGCTGCAGTCTGTGAAAAACGATTGGGGCTGTTTAACAACGATGCAACACAACTTGCAGTACAGCATGCTTACACCCCTCCCTTAGTCCTTAAAGATTTAATGCAGCTCATTCAAGACATGAGTAAAATTCAAATAAATAGAGCAAAATTAGAAATTTCATATATTATTATATTTATAATTTAACGCTCAAGTTTAACCATCCAAATTTAAATGCAGAGCTTTGTCTCATTTTCACAGTTCTTTCAAATCATAAGTATCAAAAGTTCCAGTAATTTAAGAGCAAAAAGGACATTTAAAACATTGAAAAAGCGCCAAGGAATTTGGATTTTTCCACAGTGGAAGCATTATTGAGACCTCTGAAGGGAACAAATATTAAAAGTCAGCAATGCCTACAAAAAAGCAATATTACTGAATCTTGATGCAGGCACCTACAATACCTTAATTACAACACAACAACTTCTGTTATGCTCAAAATAACAAAAACAATGACAACACAACCAGTATTAACTGAGAGAAGGATTGTACTCCTGCTGTTTTTATGAATCTCTGAATGGGACCACAAGTAGGTTAATTAATCAACTTAATTCATAAACATTTTGACCAAATAAAAACTAAGTTAGTATTGTTACAAGTCCAAATCCAGTGTATAGTATGTATTATTTATGGTCAGAGGGGAGAATAGCGAGGGGGGACCTCTGCTTCCCTCTAGATACTGAGGTCTTTTGGGTTTTCTTTGTACAGCCTTCTCTTGGGCTCAGGGATCTGGTTTGAGCTGCGTCTTCCAGCAGTATTGTTGTGTCCTGTCTTGTTGTAGGTAGCGTTGTTGTGTGCAGCATTGTTCTTCATCATGCTGTAGTAGTCCTTCAGTCTGGGTGCTGCTGCTGCATAGTTCAGCTCGTCCCGACTGTAGTTGCTGTCAGGGGAAGAGTCCCGCTCCAGTCTGTACCGCCTCTCCATTGTCCCATTCCCTCTGTGCCTCCCCTCCCTCCTTTCTGAGGAAGAGTCTCTCAAAAGGTTTCCGTTCTTAGTGGCTTTATCGTATGCCCGGCCTCTGGTGAGAGAATCTGCACTGTTGTTGACTCGCTCAGGGGTGGAGACCTCACTGACTCGACCGGCTAACGGTGACTCCTTGAGGAGCTTCCGTTCATAGAGCTTTCTCTCAGGTGTTACAGAGAGAAACCCTCCGTCATCATATTCCCTCTCAGGTGTGTGGTCCCGATGTGCTCTGCGGTCCATGGACTTTGCCCGCCGACGATCCGGAGATGAGTTACGCTTCCTGGTTGGTGAGCGATCAAGGGAGCCACGACGCTGTGGACGGAGTTTACTGTCCAGAGTAGAACTGCTGCTCGAGAGCTCTCTGCCTCGCAGTTTTTCGGCTGCAGCAGCCTTCTTCCCTGAGCTGTCTTTCCTTAGACTTTTCAGGAGCTTGGAGATGCCACTCTCTGATTCAGACTTCTTGACTTTGCGTCCTCGGCTCTTCTTGTTGCCACCGGTGCTGCCATTACTGTTGTCGGGAGACTGCTGTCGGGGGATACTTTGACTGTGACTGTTATTCCAGGTGTGATGAAGGTGGGGGTTAAACTGCCGGCCCTCGAAGTCCATCAGATCTGAGCCGGCCCAGTCCCTGTTCTTCTCCATACTTCGGCCACGCGAAGGCTCCTCCAGGCGTGATGGTTTGTGAAAGTCTGGTGGATAACTGGACTCAAATGAGGTGTGATATCGGCTGTTGGGCGGCAGCTTTCTCACTTCCGGAGCGTTTTGTGCCCCGGATGGGGAAGGGTACCCGTCACTGCTGCCGTCTGCAGGAAGGACAAAGGAGAAAGGACTGACTGAATAAAAATAGGTTTCAGATAAACATAGATTGTTGTCGACATTGGTTAAGTGGTCTCTTGCAGTGGCACAACACAATTTAATGCAGCTATGAATATCATGCAAAGATGTTTTTTTATGTGCTGCATGTATTCTTAGAAAATCTAAACTGACAGATCAGATGACAACTCTTTTTATATACAAGAACTGCAAATCTATAAACAGAAGATTACATCAGCAAAAGCAGGAGCAACACATCAGTGAGTGTAGGGCAAGGGTTATCAATGAGACGGCAGGCACCTAGAAAATCATTCAAAGCAGTATGAAAAAGGTACATCAAAACAAACCAAAACCAAATAAAAAATGTGCATTTGACTGAATGTTTGCCAAATTACACTGGTTGCTACGGCAGCAGCATGTGATGAGTTGAGGCATTACGTTAGTTCAATTAAAAAGAGCGATATTGGGGTAGGGTTCATATGGACTGACAGAGGCCACATAAGTACAGTTTAATACAAGCGTGACGGGACACAAAGTATGTTGACGATGTGAACACATCCGCACAAAAACACTGACAAAGTAGGATGCAGGTCAGGATGAGCTGGAAGGCTGTATAAAAACTCAAAGTGAGGAGAGGGAAGATGACAGGGAGAGTGAACTGGGACACTTATTTATCTTTTTACTACAAACCGTTGTCTGATTTTGGCCCATTAGGTAGAAACAGGGCTCTCCCATCTTGTCATTCCTTAGTGTACCAACAGCGAGATGAGGAGCCATCATCGCTGGAGAGAGGAGGAAGAGCCCAGTGATAAGAGATGATCAGAGAGAAGAAAGGAAGAGGCAAGAAAAGGAAACAAATAGAACAGACAAGAGGAGTTTTTACATTACATCCATTGGAAGAAGAAGGGCACAGAAGCCTGTTTGTGTTAGCTACTCCTAAGAATGGGAAATACCTACAAGAAAACAGCCACTACCTTAAATGTCTACAATCAGATCAATACTAAAAACAAGGACCTCAGGTCTTTCTGCCCTTTATATGGAGTACTGAAGATACTAATGAGGGTAAAAAAAACCCTGAAGCCCATCTTGAGGTCCCCAAGACAACAACTTGCCAGCAGACAACCTGTCCTTCTGAAGGCATGGCTAAATTTCATGTTTCTGTTTCAGTTGAGGGATCACAGTGCTCTGCATCAGCAGTGCTGTGTCCGTCTCCCTGTCAGCTTGCAGATTAGCTTCTCGGATTGGTTGATGTGGTGCTTCGAGCAGCAAAAATTTTATTTTTCCATCTCCAGCATATGCTGCTTGTGAAATTTTGAACATTTAAGTTTACTGGGGAAAAACAGGCTGTAAAATTTGTCATTTTTTTTATAAAGGCCGTACAGCTGTATGCATTGCTAGCAAAAAGCCTAGTGGCAACTATTAAGCAAGGTGCTCTTTGCACGTTTCTTCTAAGATCGCCCTAGAAGAGCACGAATATAAATTTATGTAAAAACAATGTTCTTTTTATTAGTACTTTTTGCCCTTCAGCATAACACCATTTAGATAAAAGTTGGATTTTTCAAAAATGCCCTTTGTGGGGTTAGGTTGATTGATCTGTTGAAGGAAACATATTGAAATGGTGCTTTGTACTCTATTCCAAATTTTACTAATCTCTACGAGAAGAGCAAAACAGTATGCCTACCATACTCGGGTACAGATCCATCTCCTCTCTTTAGGACAAGCCTTGCCCTCCGACCTCCATTCTTGATCAGTTCAATGGCTCGTGAATGCTTCATGTTCTTTGTGCTCTCACCATTAATCTCCAGGATCTCATCTCCCACCTAAAACAGAGAGGCTGTGTAAGTGGGACAGCTGGCCAATAAAATGGTCTCATAAATAATGCAAAAATAGGAAATTTAGCCTGACAAAATGTTCTTAGAAAGGAATCTAAGGGAACTTGTGAGTTTTTATACCCTCATTTTGCCATTTCTGACAGCAGCCCCATCCTCGGCTAGTCTCAGCACATAAAGGTCCATGTTGTACTCCCGTCCTCCTCTTAGGCTGAAGCCGAAGCCTTTACTGTCCCGTTCAAGGTCCACAGAATAGTATTCTGCATCCTGCAGCATAAGAAAATAAATCTACAGTGTAGAAAGGAAACACTAGAAACACTAACATATTGTGCAGTGTGAATCAGAAGGTGTCTACAAACTTCAGAACTAATCAAGCCATGTTCCACTAAAAAACTCAAGATGTCAAAGCTTGTACAATATAGTGGAATTTATGAATAATTAATGCAGAAGTGCATGTGAGCAGGTTACTGATCATTGAGCAAGGGCAGCACCCCAAAGTTTTTACATATATTAGGAGTTCACTTTAAATTGAAGCTTATATTGTAAAAAGATAATCTCAAAGGCTCCGAAAATGTTATAATAAAATCCACAACAATGGTAAGATATCTGCTGTGTACCCTACCTCTTACCCTGATCTTTAATCCTAAATATTACTGGATTCTTTATCACTGTCTTCATGATTTCTTTGATAAATGCAAAAATATATTGCTTTGAGTGTATTAAGCTAGCTTAAATTCCATGGGACAACAAATCATTACATCAATAAAAAAATAATTCTTATTTTATCTATCATGCATTTTTTATATTTAAAATTACATGCAAAAACTGCAGGTTATAGGTCTATGTGAGCCAAAAAATAAATAAATAAATAATTAAAACACTGGGGTTTAATTTATCTTGCAGGTCAATTTTAAATACAGTAAGGCAGATTTGCTAAAGCTGCACTACAGCTCAAAACCTTGTTACTATGCCCACTGTGTGCCATGTTTACTATGCTTATAAAAATGTTCCTTACCAACACACCAAAGTATTTCATTATGAAACCTTAAATCTTCCCACTGTTATTTACCATCTCATTATTTGCATGCTGCTGCCCCCTATTGATTACTAACATATACTGTAGCTTAAAAGGGCTTTACACATGTAATTTTTCTGAGCTTCTTAATTAGAATATAAAGAAAATACACACCTTTTATTTACACCTTTATTCTTCCTAAAATATTCCTTTTTTTATTATAAAGCAATTAGTGTTTTATTGACTTGGAGAAAATCTAGAACCTGAGGGGGAACTGAATTACAGTTAGGATTTGTTTTCACTTAAAGGCAGGTGAAACGTCATGAAATAAATAAAGCCACTAGTGTTTGCATTTAATATTGTTTCCAAAAGAGTTACAAATGTTGCCTTCCACTTTAACTGCATCATATTCTGTCTTCATTGTATGCGTTCTCTTGAACAATTATAAGGTTTTCTTGATAACTTTGAATTACAAAACATGTTTTGTCTGATCAGCAAATCAAAAATAATCACTTTATGAAGTTGACTTGGCAGTGGGCTTAAATTAATGTTTTATTTTTTGTTTGATAGTTTTATGTTTCTTAAAAAATGTAGATCTTATCCGTTTAGAACTCTGCAGATCCTGCATTTTGTCTGAATTTGAATATTCTGAAAAAATAAAATGAAACAACTCCTGTATGATCGAGCCCAGTCTAAGTATCAATTGGATTGAGTTTATAACAGCTATATAGTAAATAAATAACAACTGTGCAATTTTCTTTTTTTTCATAAATGGGTAAGATCTCAGAAAAAAATGCAAACCAAAAAAAAAAAAAAAACCCCCAAAAAAACCCCAAAACATAAGTTGTTAGCAGGAAATTCAAAGATCCATTTGAAAAATGTTATAATAAAACATGTATATAGAAGTTTTACTTGAAAGAAGACAATATGTAAACAAGTAATATACTTTACTAGAAATCATTAAGGTTTTTAAAAACTTAACTAGTTTGTATTTTCCCAGTGCATATAGAAAATAACAATCACATACTATAACTTTAGTCTGAACACATACCATGACTTTTTATGGCTCATGATGAGCTGTTCTCTGTGCTTAAAGGGCATGACAATTACAAATCTAAGTATGGTTGAACTGTGCATTGAAAATATTGACAGGTACCTGCAGATGAGTTTGCGAAGGAGGTGGAGGAGGAACTCCTTTTGACTTTGAATGATTCCTTGCAAAAGACAAGAAAATATATTTAATGGTGTGATGTGCATTATCTCTAAAACATCTCCAAAAGATAAGCTCTTACCTTAACTCTGTGGTTTGAGGTGTGTGTGTGGTGGTGATGGTAGCGATTTTCTCTGCATTAGTCAGGAGAGAAGCATTGGAAGATTCTGTAAAGAGTAAAAAAAAAATTAAATAACGTGGGTACTTTTATCAAACGCCTTAGCCTGGAGCTGTGTTTTTTAAAGGCACTATGGTGAACAAAATGCCACGCTCCAAAAGAGTCCCCTGAATCACCCACAGTCAGCTCTATTCAACCTGATGCTAACTGTGTGTGATGCTGTCATCTGCCATTTGCTCAGTGACAACACTGGTCCATCTGCATCCAACGGAAAACAACAGCCATTAAGGAAAAATATTTTCCAAGCATTGTTTTCTTTTGTAGGATCTTTTTAAATAAAAATGTGACATTTTTTAAGCCAAGCATCATATATATCAGCTTCATTTGGGAAAAGTACAGATCTGTCCATGTTTAACATGAAAATAATACAGTAGCCACCTTAACTCACTCTTTCCTTAGCTCCATAAATTAACTCCCTTTCTGCCCCACAGAGGTCCGGACGCCTCTCTGCATTGTGTTACTAGTATACATGTAGATTTTACTCTGATGGTTTGATTTGGGTTCTGAGGGAGAAGTTTACCATCACTTTGAACTCTAAAGTTTGGAAGATTTCTTTTAAACTGTGTCTCTGTAAAAGTCTTAATGCACAGTACAGTTTTACTCTGCTCAGTATCTGTCATGTAAAATTATGGCTCATTTGCCAATCAGCGTTACTGTTTCTGAGTTTGAAATTCTTTGACTTTAAAAAGTATTTACACCCCATAAATCTTTTTAACATCAATATAAACCTAAACCTTAATGCATTTTGCTGAGACTTTATCTAATACACAGACACAAGGTAGTGCTTAACTGTGAAGGGGAAGGAAAAAGAAAATTTCAAAAGTATTGGATGATTATATTTGTTTGGTTTTAGAGGATCACAGCCAAAAAAGCATTCTACAAGGAAATTGTAGGGCTTTTCGTGCTTTCTTTATGGAAAAAATAAATAATTTTCCCAGTAGGACTATCCACTTGCTCACACTGCCATAGGTGCCAGATGACTAAGGTGTTCCTCTGCTCGACAGGCACACAAACCCGCCTGACAGCTAGCAACCTCCATGCCACACCACAATGAGGCATTCATTTGTACAAAATGAGGCCCCGCTAACTATTTAATCCATAGAAATAAACTTTTTCAGAAACTTGAAATTTCTATTTGAAGTCCACTTTGTTATTGTTATGTAAAAATCTGAATGTCCAAGGCATCGAATTCAGGTTTTTATTAGCTGCAGATAGATCTATGATTGCTATGAAAAATATTTTACACTATAGTATTTCAAATGAGTCTCACTTACTTTTTCATGACATTCATTTTTATATGCTCAGTTGATATTCAGTTGTTCTAGGTTTGCTAGAGCATTTGTGAACAAACATTATAAATACCAAGAAACAAATGAGACAATTCAGGGATAAAGTTTAAGGCAGAAAGAGATACTAAGGTTAAAAACAATCTAAATCATAAAAGCAACCAACAGGCTCTCTACAGGTAGGAGAATATATAACAAGGACAGCTACTGTATTTATTGCTGCTACAAGTTTTGCCCTTTTAATACTAATAGAAAGTAATTGTTTGAAATACTCTCAAATCTACAAGAAAGTGCACATAAATATTTAGATGACATCACTTTTGTCAGAATTGACCAAGATATAACTTGAAAACTGTTGCATGTAAATATGGGTCCATCCCAGAAGAAAAGCTGGTAAATGTGTGAAAGCATTAAGACTCAAGCATTTTACACGATTTTACAAGATTAACAGTACTCCCACAGTCTCTCCATCCACTCAGACTATTTGATCTGTTTTTCAAATAAGCTGGAAAAGTCTTTACATGTTCAAAGCTGGTGGTGATAAAGCCTAAAATAGTTGTGGCTGTAATTGCAATGATAGGTGGTTCTGAATATTGGCCCAGGAAGTCTGAACACAAATAATATAATTCAATACACTATTCATGAAGTGCCAATTTATAACACATACATAATATCTTAAGGCACCTCACAAAGACAATGAAATCAGATCATACAGTAAATCGGTTAAAACTGACTATGATTGGTTAATTGGTTAAAAGTTTTATTTCATCTAAGGAAAACCAGCTGATTGTATTGAGTCACTGACTTTGCAGGATAAGCTCCTCCTGTGTGAGCATTTGTGACAACAAAAGACATTCGTTTGCAATGTGTCGTTGACTCTACTGCAAGCCTTCAAACCAGCAATGCATGCAGTAACATCGGAGAGGAAAACCTCCCTTTTAACAAGACAAACTCTCAGCAGCCGAACCAGGCTCAGTGTGATGGGCCTTCTGCAGAGCCCAACTGGGGGTTCAAGGAAACAGTAGCAAACATACAAAATGAACATAGAATTACTGATCCGTATACACATTAGAAAAATCAAAGTACTTTATTTTTAAGAATTTACTTTGCACAGAAACCTTAAAAGCTGTTTTTTTTTTCTTTGCATGTGAAAAGCATTAGTGCCCTTCTTTTCAACTAGAGCCATGAAAAAGTCACATTATATTGCATTATGAAACATTTGTGTAATGCTGGGGGCTGAGAGCCTTACCATCGCCTGGAATGATCCTGAGTGAGACAGTGTTCCCGGCCTCTTTGATCAGGTTGACGATGTCCGAATGTGACTTGTTGGTGATGGAGCAGCCATTGACAGCCAGAATCCGGTCTCCAACCTTCAGCTTCCCGCAGCGGTCAGCCGGGCTGCCCTCTATGATACGACCTATTTTGTGGGGCATCGCAACGCATGCATTTCCAGCTTTTTGTATCAGTTGGGTTTGTGTTTCATTTTTTTTTATATTTAAAACAGTGTATGGTGATGATTTGTTTGATTGATATGGGTTAACATTTATGTTGATTTGCATTTAAAGAAAGTAGGAAAGAGGGAGAAACAGAAAGAAAGAAAAAAAGAGGATCGATTAAATAATCAAATCAGAAAGTCCCAAAGCCAACAAATGTTAGAGCTGGAATTGACAAGTTCTACAGTAAAAAAGAAGCAAAGTTAAAATTGGATGCAGTACTGAATAAAATGCAAAGGATGTCCTCCCATTCCACAGCTTGACATGTTAATTAAAGAACTGAAAAGTTGGTGCATCACTGGATCAATAAGTGTTCAGTCTGCATTCAATCTGATAACTGAGCTGTGGTTCCTAGGCTAAGACATACAAGTATAAAAAGGAAAGTTGTAATTTTTTCAAACACTGTTCTGCTAGGATGTTACAAGTAATTAATATCCAACCTGCTATGGAACAACTCTGCAGGTCTAACACTATCTTACAATAAATAATGTTGTTTGTCCAAATATTCTATACTAGGCCTTTAGAGACTTTTTATATTTTCTCTAGGAAATTATATAAAAATAGGCTGAAAATTATTTACACAAAAGAAATAGAGCAGGAAGTGGTTCAACACATTTTAAAGGTTCATAAAATAGCATTTTAAGTAAACACTATGACTATTTTGAGACTTAAGTTGTTTTAAATTCGTACCATCAACTCTTGTCTAGCACAGCACACAAACTGGTTTTAACCATCTCATTCAGAGTTATTTGCAGGAATGTTAACGTTTGGAAATTCAGGAAAGAAAAGTTTCCATCTTAGCTTAAGTTCTTCAAATTTTATCTGTTTAAATGATCACATATTTTCAGATGTGATCCTGCAAACCTTGGGTAGGTTGTGTCTGCACCTTATCAGACGAGGTTTAACTTAAAATTTCAGATGGTGTGTGCTTAACACGCACAACAAGTGAAACCAGAACATTTTTAAATATAACCCTCAGACAGAGAATCAAATTGAAATAAAAAGCAACCTTCAAAATCCCTAAAGATGCATTATATTATTTTTTTAAATAATTAATATAGGGAATATGTTCCCCTTATGGGCAACCAAAAAATAATAAATGTACACTTCTAAACTCTATTATCACCACTGCAGTGATAAGATGACGTATACGTTTATGTTTGAGAAATAGCAGGTAATGTGGTTTTATCTTTTGGTTCAGATTAATGTGCTGTTAGTGATATAAAAATAGGATAATAAGGATAATATCAAATTACATTACAGCTTTTTTTATTTATATTCTTAAGTCTTCGAACTGGTAATGATGACACAATTAAATATGCTCGTATAGGTAACCCCACTCAATTTCATCTAGTTTTACTCAAAAGCATAAATGACCAGCTACGATTATATATATTAAATTGCAATCGTCAATGTTTTAGTCAGTATTTTTCACTATTATTGTCTGGAAGCCGTGTCTACTCCAACATCCTTGGTCATTGTTGGAAGCTGGAGAAGTACCACCTTTCTCCAGCAGAGTCCGCCGTGGATCCTCCTGAGCAGAGCCTCCTGCACAGCTGCTGCTCATTACCATCATCAGAGGATCCACTACTTAAGCTGTCTTCAGACCTTGCCTCAACGCCGCAGTGTTGATCCAGTTGGTTAGCACTAAGCCTAGATCCTTCTGAGAACCTTTGTTGACTTTTTGAATCCAAGCTGGATTCTAACTTCTGTCTCTGTTTTTCAGGAAACCAGTTTGTCTCCTGTGAAGCTCTGGAAGAGCTTAACCTGCCAAGCCTACCCTCTGAGCCAAACCTGAAGCCTGCCTTTGAGCTTTCATGCAGCCTAGGATCAAGAGCTGGAAACCTCAAGCTTCTCTCGGTTCAAATCCTAAGAAGTAAGACGCTGAAGCAGCTTGCGGACTCTGCGAACCAAACTCTCTCCAGTTCCAACAACCTTCCTCTCCAAGCTTTAATCAAGGACCCTCAAGGTACAAGTCAGAAACAATCTAAAGACAAATCTCTAAGTGCCCTGCTAACTGAACTATCTTCCTGTGCAGACTCCGGTGAACCCGTGTTCCAGGACCAGAACCAGAACCAGTGTCATTGTGCTTGCAAAATAAACTCTGTTAAACTTTTACTACTGTTTCCGTCTAGTGGTGTTCTGCATACTTGGGTCGCTTTAGAGAACCCATCATGACAGAACACTGCGGCCAAACACAAGGCCCAGCAGATCACCTCCGCCGTCGCTTGGAGGAGCAGGAAGTCCAAATCCAAGGACAAACCCAGACACTCCGTGAGTTATATCGCCTTGTAGACACTCACAATCATATGCTTCAGAGCTACGCTAATTATGTGAGCAATGCTAATGCCACGCCAGCAGCGCAACCATTTCCGGGTCCTGTTCCCCCTCCGAGGTCACCAGCTGTGACGTCATCAGAGTTCCGCCCTAACCTTCCTGAAAGATTCTCCGGTAATATGAAGGATTGCAAAGGATTTTTATTTCAATGCCGGCTAATTTTTCAAAATGCTCCCAATAGTTTTCCCACGGATTATAAACGGATAACGTTTATTCTTTCTCAATTAACAGGAAGAGCCTTGGAGTGGGCTCAGGCCAGATTTTCCTCCGATGAAAGCCTCAACTGTCGATATTCTGACTTTATTTCCGAATTCTCCCAGGTTTTTAACCAGGAGTCTGATCAAACTATTGACTCTCGTGCTCTTTTCAGTATCAAGCAAGGAAATTCTTCTGTGGCTGATTTCTCCATCAACTTCCGGGTTAAAGCAGCAGCTTCCGGATGGAACCAAAGTGCTTTGAAAGGGGCTTATTTTATGGCCTTAAATGAGAATATTAAGGACGAACTTGCAACCCTCGATGAACCTGCTACCCTCGATGAATTAATCAAGTTAACAATAAGATTGGACAACCAAATCCGAGCCAGAAATAGCTCCAAGCCAAGAAACCTAGGATCTCTTTCAGTTGCTCCTGCTTCTGATAACGAGACTGTTTTTTCTCCTCCCACAGAACAGTTGCCTAAGTTGAGATCTAAGACCCAGTCTCTCCCTCTGCCTGTTCAGGCGTCTCATTCTGGTAAAATGGAGGTCGAACCCATGCAGGTTGGAAACACTAGGCTAACTCCAGAAGAAAGACAAAGACGCTTTTTGAGTAAACTCTGCATTTATTGTAGCGAGAGTGGACACTTCATCGCCACCTGCCCGGCTAAGTCAAAAGCCTGGGCCCGTCAGAGGATCTGAGGAGTCTGACGGGCCAAACTAATTCTAAGAAATCTCCTCGACTGATGCTTACAGCCACTCTGTTTTTCGCTAACCAAAACCTCTCTTTCTCTGCATTCATCGATTCAGGCTGTGAACGGAACCTGATTGATTGAAATCTCGTCCGACAACTGGAAATTGAAACCATTCCCCTGACTCAACCTCTCCGTGTCTCAGCCATTGATGGGAAGAAACTTCACCAAGTTACCCATCAAACTGAACCCCTCGAGCTGCTACTTTCAGGTAACCACCGTGAGACAATTACATTTTTTGTTTTTCCCTCCGCATGCTCCCCTCTCGTGCTTGGATTTGAATGGTTGGAGAAACATAATCCTCATATCAACTGGACTGATCGTTACCTGGAGTCATGGTCTACGTCATGCCATGAGACATGCCTTCGTTCGGCAGCCCCCTTGGTGGGGCCTCCTAGGGGAGGGGGGGGAGATGGACTCTCCTGACCTTTCTTCAGTTCCCTCAGAGTACCATGACTTGGCTCCCGTCTTCAGTAAGGTCAGTGCTACGTCCCTTCCTCCACACAGACCATATGACTGCGCTATCGAGTTGCTACCTGGAGCGCCATTACCCAGCAGTCGTTTATACAACATCTCCAAACCCGAGCGAGAAACTATGGAGAAATACATTAACGAGTCTTTAGCTGCTGGGATTATTCGCCCGTCCTCCTCTCCTCTGGGTGAAGGATTATTTTTTGTGGGCAAAAAGGACGGTTCTCTTAGGCCATGTATCGACTACAGAGGTTTGAACCAAATTACAATTAAGAACAAGTATCCTCTACCTCTTCTCGCCTCAGCGTTTGAACCTGTCCAAGGGGCTACAGTCTTCACCAAATTGGATTTAAGGAACGCATATCATCTTCTTAGGATCAGAGAAGGAGATGAGTGGAAGACTGCTTTCAAAACCCCATTAGGTCAGTTCGAGTATTTGGTTATGCCTTTTGGTTTAACTAACGCCCCTGCCTGTTTCCAAGCCCTCGTGAACGACATTCTCAGAGACTTTTTAAATGTGTTTGTGTTCGTCTATATTGACGACATACTCATTTATTCAAGGAACCTGTCTGATCATAAGAAACATGTCCGCCTGGTGCTACAAAGGTTATTGGAAAACAAGTTGTTCGTCAAAGCTGAAAAATGTGAGTTTCATCAACCCTCAGTTACCTTTTTGGGGTTTGTGCTCGAGGGTGGGCAGGTTAAGCCTTCTGAAGACAAGATTAAGGCTGTTTTGGAATGGCCAGTTCCTGAAAATCGCAAGCAGCTACAGAGATTTTTGGGGTTCGCCAATTTTTACCGCCGCTTCATAAGGAACTATAGCCAAACAGCCCTCCCTTTAACCTCACTGACTTCAGTTAAACGAACTTTTCATTGGTCCCCTGAAGCTCAGACTGCTTTTGAGAAACTGAAATCTTTGTTTTCCAGAGCACCTGTGTTAATTCAGCCAGACCCTTCCAAGCAGTTCATCCTTGAAGTAGACGCTTCAGATTCTGGCGTTGGAGCAGTCTTGTCTCAAAGACTCGATTCTGACCAAAAGATCCATCCATGCGCCTTTTTCTCTCGTAGACTTTCTTCAGCAGAGCAGAACTACGACGTTGGAGATCGTGAGCTGTTGGCCATCAAGTTGGCGCTGGAGGAATGGAGACATTGGCTGGAGGGAGCTGAGCACCCGGTTCTAGTTTGGACAGATCACAAGAACCTTGCTTACATCCAGTCAGCCAAACAGGCCAACCCTCGTCAATCCAGGTGGTCCATATTCTTCTCAAGGTTTAATCTCATTATCTCCTACAGACCCGGATCCAAGAATGTGAAGCCTGACTCCCTTTCTCGTCTTTACTCCGTCGATCAATCCGAGACACCAGAGCCTGTCCTTCCAGCATCTTGCACAGTCGGAGTTGTTAATTGGGAGATTTCCGATCTCATTAACTCCGCCTTGGCCACGGAACCTGACCCAGGTAACGGTCCAGCTAACAGAACCTATGTTCCATCTTCCGTCAGGTCCCGATTAATACAATGGATGCATGCTGCCAAATTTTCTGCCCATCCGGGAGTCAGTAGAACTATATCTCTGATTTCAAGACGCTTCTGGTGGCCTACGCTTCACAGAGATGTAAAGGAATATGTGTTGGCCTGCCCTACTTGTGCCAGAAAAAAGGCCTCACACCAGCCCCCCTCGGGTCTGCTACAGCCTCTTCCGATTCCTTCTCGTCCATGGTCCGATATTGCCATCGACTTCGTCACCGGCCTCCCTGTCTCACGAGGTATGTCCACCATCTTCACCATCGTTGATCGTTTATCCAAATCGTGTCATCTCATCCCTCTCAGGAAGCTTCCCTCGGCCTTCCAAACGGCTCAACTTCTAGTGAAACACGTTTTCCGGTTACACGGCATTCCCCAGGAGATCCTCTCTGATCGTGGCCCTCAGTTCATATCACAAGTTTGGAAGGCATTCTGCGCAGCTCTGGGCTGTAAAACATCTCTGACATCTGGTTATCATCCGCAATCCAATGGTCAAACTGAACGGATGAACCAGCAACTGGAATCTACTGTACCCTCTGTTGCCTCACGTCTAACAACCCAACCGACTGGAGCCAATATTTACCCTGGATCGAATACGCCCACAATTCGTTGAGATCTGCTTCCACCGGCCAATCACCCTTCCAGGTCAGTCACGGTTATCAACCTCCACTTTTCCCCGCAGATGAGAAAGAAATTGCAGTTAAAACCATCAATCAACACATCCGTCGCTGCCAGAGAATTTGGAAGGAAACCATCGCCACGCTCAACAAATCCTCCGAGACCTCCAAACGATTTGCTGACTCCAAGAGACGTCCCGCTCCCGAGTACTCCGTAGGCCAGGAGGTATGGCTGTCGACTCGTGACATCCCCCTCAAGGGGATGTCTCGAAAACTCTCCCCGAGGTTCATTGGTCCGTTTAAGGTTTCCCAGGTCATCAACCCATCTGCAGTCCGTCTCCAGCTACCTCCGACCCTACGCATCCACCCCACTTTCCACGTCTCTCAGATCAAGCCCGTTGTCTCAAGCCCTCTGTGCCCTCCGTCCGACTCCCCACCACCCGCCCTGGAAGTTGATGGCCATCCCGCCTTCACCGTTCGTCGCATCGTGGACTCCCGTCGGCGAGGTCGCGGCTGGCAGTACCTCGTCGACTGGGAGGGCTACGGACCAGAGGATCGCCAGTGGGTTCCTGGCTCTTACATCCTCGATCCTTCCCTGATCGAGGAGTACGAGCGTTCCTGTCCATCAACCTCTTCCGGACCGCCAAGGGGCGGTCGTTGAGGGGGGGGGGTACTGTTGGAAGCTGGAGAAGTACCACCTTTCTCCAGCAGAGTCCGCCGTGGATCCTCCTGAGCAGAGCCTCCTGCACAGCTGCTGCTCATTACCATCATCAGAGGATCCACTACTTAAGCTGTCTTCAGACCTTGCCTCAACGCCGCAGTGTTGATCCAGTTGGTTAGCACTAAGCCTAGATCCTTCTGAGAACCTTTGTTGACTTTTTGAATCCAAGCTGGATTCTAACTTCTGTCTCTGTTTTTCAGGAAACCAGTTTGTCTCCTGTGAAGCTCTGGAAGAGCTTAACCTGCCAAGCCTACCCTCTGAGCCAAACCTGAAGCCTGCCTTTGAGCTTTCATGCAGCCTAGGATCAAGAGCTGGAAACCTCAAGCTTCTCTCGGTTCAAATCCTAAGAAGTAAGACGCTGAAGCAGCTTGCGGACTCTGTGAACCAAACTCTCTCCAGTTCCAACAACCTTCCTCTCCAAGCATTAATCAAGGACCCTCAAGGTACAAGTCAGAAACAATCTAAAGACAAATCTCTAAGTGCCCTGCTAACTGAACTATCTTCCTGTACAGACTCCGGTGAACCCGTGTTCCAGAACCAGAACCAGTGTCATTGTGCTTGCAAAATAAACTCTGTTAAACTTTTACTACTGTTTCCGTCTAGTGGTGTTCTGCATACTTGGGTCGCTTTAGAGAACCCATCATGACAGTCATTCTAACGCTAAAGCATGAAAGGACATGGTTGAAGCAGAATGACAGATTTGGCATGGCTAACGGCACTAAGAAAGAGTCTCTGATATCTACACTTGTCCTTCTCCTGTTTAACTCCCCCTCTCCTCTCCTTGCTTTATCCAGTAGTCTATGCAGCATCCATATTAATTGCTTAACCTTTTTTGACATTCACCCCTCCTTCCTTGATGGGAAGTGCGCTTGTATGCTGTCACATTATTTAAATAATGGGTTGTGAGACCTTACAGGGATAGACAAGGATTTAACACCTAATCTGCTAAGCACAAAACCAACTGAGGGTCATTGAATGATGGGGGGGGGGGCTTAATAGACTTCAGGAAAAATGGTTTGTCCATCACTAAAGGGAGACTAAATAGAATGAAAGGGTTTTGAGGAATGTCACTTTTTAAAAACTAATTCCTGATTTTAGCATGTGTCCCACAAGGTTAGAATCAATAATAGAAGTGAATACATGGCACTACAGGATCAGCCTAGATCACTGTATGACAATCAGGATAAAAGGGGGAAATAGAAACTAAACACAAAGAGGAAGCAGGAACAAAATTAAACCTTTTAAGGCTTCAAGGAGTCTGGAGAAGGTCATTTTCAGTGTTAATACCACATTATTTCCTGAACTGCATTCTGAAAAAAGCTACACCTTGGCCATGGGGATAAGTGGAACCTCATTGGCACTAAGCGTGACAAGAGCATTGTCCACTTTCCCTTTCCTCTATGACACATCACGTTACATCATCATCAGGGCAACAAGGGTCCTTGCAATGACATCTGTGTTCATCACACAAAGCGTCATACAAAATTTGTTCAAGGGCAGCTTCTGCAATTTCTACCCAAAACCTATATGACTTTACTTCATACATGTCTGCTCTGGTTTAGTAATATAAAAAAGTTTCTCTTTTTTAAGATTGCCAACAGTGGTGCAAGGAACATGATGGATTGGTAAAAGCCAGAAAGGGGAAATTACCAATTTTTGTTATGTTAAAAATGTGCAAATGTTGCTAAATGTCCAGCATTAGAAACTGCATGTTTGGTGAAAGTATTTAATATCTTATATGTAGTATTTTCTTGTGGTCTCCTATATACGTTTAGACTAGTTGGTCCTGGAGGCTGAAGTTGATGGCTCAGTCTGAGAGAGTCCAACACTCAAATACGATAACTCCAGTCTAAAAACATCTGTAGGATAAAGCCAATGAAATTCTAGGACTTTAAAGTGGTTGTGTAATGTTTACAAAGGAAATAAAGACCCCAATTGGGACAAGAGTGTCAGATAATGGATGGATAAAGGTGGAAGGCAGTGCACTACCAAAACACTATGTAACACATGCAGATAACATGTAAAAGTTCTGGTGAAGATGAATGACATAAAAGTAAAAAACCAAAATACTTAGGAACAAAAGCAAGCTCTATTAGGTAATTACTCCTATAGGAATCACTTTATCGTACTGTAACCTTTCTAGTTTGATATAATGATCTGGCAATCGATTTATGTTAATGGTTAATCAGTGTTTGTTGCAAGGTCCCAATGAGAACCAACATAGGTGGGAGGTGGGAGCAGCCAAACAGAATCTCGAAATTTGAAATCTTATTGTTGAGATTGCTGTCGTCGCCATGTTTGTGTTGCTGTGCTAGAGTAAAGCTGTCAATCACAGCTAATTTAAGATATTATGTCAAACTGGCATTTGGTTTCTGTGTTTCAAACCCAAATGGAAAATCAGAGAATCATAGGAGAAGAAAATATAATGATTGAAGCTCTTGCAATGCAATGCAAATTTAGCGATACATCAATTAGCTACATTATGAATAAAACCAAGTTACCCAATGTGGTTCCAGCATCAGGCCGGGAGACGGATGACACGATGACGAAACCAAATCCCTCATTTTCTCCCCGCTGGATCTCTACGTCGTATGGCTGGAGAGAGGCGGGCACCACAGCGCTTCCACTGCCACCTCCACCACCACTGCCTATACCGCTGGTAGATCCACTGCCAGAGCTAACTGTGTTCAGGGAGTTTTGGCTTCCCTGAGGGGTCCGCTTGCCTTCTGTGAGGCTTGGCGCCTGAGTGCTGCTGTGATGGGAAGAGGCCGGCGATGGCGGAACATCACCCTCTCCCTTTGACACTGGGGATAAATTAGTTGGGACCTCAGTGGTTAGATATATGAACAAAGTAGCAACTGTCAATGATATGTTAACATAATATGCATGCAAAGGCCCATGATATAACAGACACATCTACAGTAGTAGCCATGCAAAATTTCCCCACTTTCCTTGATGGGCCCTTGGTGGCTCGTCCCCTAAGATTCCTTTTTTAAACATCAATATTTGTAGTTAAATATTCTGTCATGATTTGTAAACAATAAGACCTAAAGATTAGTGTCTTCTCCTGGTCCTTCCAGTGGCTGGAAGTTGGCTGCCATTCGGCTGCCGTTGGACTGGGAAGGGCCATTCTGAATGGCTGCTACTGTACATGTTTAAAGTTAAACTTTAATCACCTCCATATCCGGGGGTCTTGCGCCTGACCGTGAGGTTTACATGACCCTGTTTGGCAGCCTGCTGCATCAGCTGAACCACCAGCTGGTGGGACTTGCCCACTACTGCTGTGCCGTCCACACAAATAAGCTCATCACCAGACCGCAGGCGGCCATCTTCATCCGCAGCACCATATTTCACTATATGACCAATGTAAATCTGAAAAATGAAAGTCAAAAAGTGTTATCACTCTAAAGGTAATTCATTGGGTAAGAATCTTCAGTAAATTAATGGTATAGAGGACAATCTTTTATTTCCAGGTGGATCATCTAAATAAGTCATCCTCCTAATTGTCAATCATTCTAGTGATATGTTTACATAAGGCCATCCTACGTGCTCGTCCTTTTACCTATCTTTTTCTGTGAATGCGCACTTTCAGACAGTCACTGAAGCTTACCTTTCTTACAGTGGTTCTTTAAAAATAGCAGAGGGTGTAAGAGAAAAAGTTTCCACGAAGTGTATGAGAAGAAAATAAAGGCCTCCGAAGAGGCAGATATATCCCATAATGCATTGCACGAAGAGCTCTCCTAGCAAAATATTATGGGATTTGCTGTCACAGTGACCCGCTGTCGCCATAGGATGTCGCTACCCGACACCGGCGACTAATAATAAAGATGGCACAGGCACCACGCAGTGGAGGAGGTTTTACATGACCAACGGGAAGCAAAAAGCACTGATCATCTGTCCGAACTCTTAGTTAACTGAGTCTGCTATGAAGTCAACTATATAGTCCCAGCTCTATATAGTGATTGAGGGATTTAGGGGTTAGGGTGGACGTTTGGACATAGTAAGCTTGTATTAGCCAACAAAAAAGTTAGATTGTAACTAAAATGAAGATTCGAGGAAGGTATACCAAGAACATAGGAAAGAAATCTACAAGACGAGGAATCCTTGTTTGTTACAATGATGTTAGAATGACTACTAAAGGGATGCCAACAATCTTTTTTAAGTTTTAAACATTACAGTCACAGACCTAAATGCATTTTATCTGAATCACATGTCAAAGAGCACTACAAAGTAACACATAACTCAGTGTGTTGACCTCACTCCTGGGACATGTCCGAGTCAGTCAGCTCTAGTCTGGCCCATCATAAGCAGACTGAAGAGTTGGTGCAGTAACTTTGGACAAGTAACAGGCTAAAACCTTCTACCACTTTGTTTTAACCCACTGGAAGCTTTCTGTCACTCTTTTACTGGCCTTTTCTTTTAAGAAAAAAATATGAGGAGCAACAGTAAAGTTTGAGGATATGGCATTTGCTTCTCCTAACCAGATGTCTGTTAGGTTCTCTAGAGAGCAACAGCTCCAAATAGACAGTGGGTGTAATTTATTAAGACTCTGTGCTATGCTTTGTAATGGCAGATGGAACTAAAAAGAGAGAGGGTAAGAAAAAATACTAATTAGGGAAACAGCCTCGAACAAAAGAGGATTCACAATACAGTTAATGTATGATATACACTCTTATCTTTCCGTTTTCAAACATTTCTGATAAATGATTAGATCAAAAGGTGAAGAGTTACTTACAGGTTCTCCAGGCTCATTTCCTCCTAAAATGCGGAAGCCAAAGCCAGTATCCTTCCTCCAAAGGAAAATGTCTTGCTCCTGGCAATCTGGCACTGTGACACACAAGACAAATCACAGAGATATCTTTTTATAGATCAATCACAAATCTACAAGTACCTTTGCCTGTACTACTCACAAAAAATAAGGATTAATCATTAGATCAGTGCATTATTGTTAAACAATTTATCTTTCCTGGGCATATCTCAATGTCTAATTAAGAACAAATTTTTAAAAATATGTGTTTTCTCTTTGTTTTTGTTTCCAATACAAACTAATCTTCTGTCTTGTTAGTCATTTCTTTTCTAGAGAAAGTGATTGATGGAGTTTAAAATAACTCCAAGAATTTTGATTTTCTTTTTTAAAGAGTACACCTGGGTAAGCTTTTGTTACTTTGTGTCTACTTCCAGTTTTCTAATCCACAGTCAGTTGCAGCAGATTGCAGCTGTCACTGAGTTTGGTTTTGTTCTGTCCAACTAAAGAAAGAGAATTCATCCAAGAGAGATCGCTTTTGTTTTTTTTTTTACTATAAAAAACAGACAGCCTACTAGTTGGTTATAGCAGCACCAAGTAATTTTTGAGTCTCAGTCTCTCCACAGAACCTTTTAGAAGGTAGCACTGTCATGAACTCTGCACAGGGTTTAAGGAAGAACTACAAAGAGTCTGACAGGTGAAGACAACTGCAGTGCCCGCGGTCATTGGAGCAGTCTGGGCTCCATCATGTCATAAACCTCCAAAATCCAAAGGTTTTCGGCGATCACCCATAATCAGCACGGGCAGGTTGTGTGGCTATGGATGCAAAGGGCCTTACGTGGGTTTGCTGCCATTTAAAGCTGTTTGCCTTACCCCAAGAACAAGAACAGAGCAAAAAGACAACCACAAGTTTATGGCACAGAAAGTCTCAAGTGTGGTTTTCTGGCCAAAGACAGAAGGAGGGAAGAGATTATTCAAGGTTAGACCCTTTGTCTAATAAAGATTCATGACAGAGAGTCAGAAGAGGAAGTATTCAGGTAAAAATGTTACTTCGTGCTGCTTCTAGTGTTGTTTCATGTACGTTATGTAACTGACGTCCAGTTTCTAAAAGTAAGTCTGCAACTGTAATTTTTTCTCCTTCTGTTGGAATTAATGCTATGCTTTTGTCCCCATAAAACATCTGTTGATGTTACAATAGTGCAATTGTTGGGTACATCATTAATATAAAATGCTAAGGTACTTGCAAAAATGAAGGAAATGACATGCAAGAAACAAAACCCATCTAGTAAGTTTGTATAGATCAAATGGTGCTTAATCAAAAAGACAAGCCTGTTGCAAAAAATTCTAATGTAAAATAAAAGGATTTTCATCAGGTTTTGGATAGATCATGTGAGAGGGAACCAGGAAATATATCAGCCATTGCACCTCTCCCCCATTCCCCCTTTTACCCCCCTGTTTGTTCTTTGACAGTTCTGTTCATTTTTTAGATGGGAAAGAGCAAGTCCATTCATTTTTATACGTTCTGGGGTCCTAAGAACAAAGATAAATAAAGCAGTTCTTTTACATCCTCACCACCTTTGCAGATTCTGAATAAGTGCACAAAATGTTCTTATCGTGGATTTGTAAATTTCCTTAATTGTACATAGCTAAGCCCACCTGCTATGTTTGTGATTGGTTGTTTCTATTGCCTTGTGTATGTTCTATTGGAACACACTGATGTTTGCCATAATGAAAACCATATTTTCAGAGATATACACATTTCATCTATGCTCATATTCCCAGACCTGATATTTAAAAGCCTGTATTGTAAAAAAAAAAATAAAAATCTGAATCATGCAGGTTAACTTTTTCCTTTTCCCTTTTACTGCATCTATCTTCTTTGCTTTACATCTCACTCAAACATGTGCAGTGTCCCACACATTCACATCTTGCCACAGGGGAAGGAGACTGTGGAGGAGGATGCAGGGAGTTTGTTGTCAGTCTGTTCAACCCACAGGGCCAGTACGCACAGGAGGCACGGCTTCTTTTCTAATGTGCAACCTTCTGTCAGTGTGACTGACTTAGGAGGCCGGCAGAAAACCGTCGTCCAGAACCTCACTTTCACCTATTGTGCGGTAAGTTTGAAGTAAACTGCCACAACAAGGTTTGTAATGAAATTACCATTTCAGCTGTGAAGCTAATTAAAAAAATCAGTATAACAGTTGTAAGAGACAGTAGCTGGCTCCTTTTTGCTGTGCTATATCTGATCCTTTTCTAACTGACTTCCAGCGGGTCAGAAATAAAGCGTCCAGAGTCAGAGTTTATAAGAAGAAAGCTGTTTACCTGCTGTCGTATTTATACCAACCACTCAAGACTTTCTAAAAATTTTGGGGAAAATCTGCTTATGTATTCTGTTAAAAGATAAAATGCAATGACTCTTCTGGATAGACAGACTGTAAACAGAATAGGAGACTGGAAAAAATGAGTTGGTTTGCATTGGTATCAAGAGTGAGATAAGAATCAATAAAGCTTTGACATCGCAGCAACAAATTTATTCATTGTAACCACCTAGGATTTCCTTCCAAAACCTGCCGAACATATAAACGATTTAGAAGGGATGATGAGAAGACACCCATTAATATCTACTTACTCTTGGTAGGTCCCTAATATCACGTATACCATAACGTTAGGAGGCTGGTGTTTCAAAGTCACACATCAAACACTTCTAACAGCTTTAAGTCGTTTCAATGAGGGGCGTGTTGTATTGAGTGCAATTAAGCAGCCATCCATCCATCCATCCATCCATCCATCCATCCATCCATCCATCCATCCATCCATCCATCCATCCATAAAATACGTATTTTCTTGTTCTTTCTCTATGGCATGGCCTTAAATGGGCTGTTCAGGATTAAAGCTTTACAGTTATGACATCTACTATATCAATCAGTCCTGAATGATCCAGATCCCTTCCTCACCATTCTATTTAACACTAAAACTGCCTCCTAGCATAAAAAAAGAGGTCAATCTGCTTTCTCTTTCAGCTTTTAGGCTTCACCCCTCCATCACACTCTCCTTCCACTTAAACAGTGCTTTTCAAGTGCATGCAGTGGATGCACAAATGCATCCCCTGACAAATTCAAGCAGTGTTTGCCGGGATGTGGTGGTATGAAGAGCATGAAAATGGAGACTGAAAATCCGCTCATGTTAGTAATTCTGTTTGCCTCTTTCTTGTTTCATTGTCTCCTCTCTCTTCACCATTGAATCATAAAAGGGGCTGTTTCTCCTTCAGAGGGTATCAAACGCACTGCAAAAACAATCCAGAAATAAGTAAAAAATGGCTTAAATTAAGTATATTTAGCCTTAATTTGAGCAGGTAAATAAGATGATTTGCCAATGGAATGAGTATTTTCACTCTTAAAATAAGATAGTTAGATAATATTTACTTGAAATAAGACGATAAAATAGTTTTTTCTTATTTTAAAAGGAAATTGTCTTGTTCCATTGGCAAAGTGTCTTACTTACCTCCTCAAATCAAGGAAAAACACACTTATTTTAAGAAAAAATAACTTATTGAGATTTATATTTTTTGCAGTGCGTATACACTGTTCATTTGCAGCTTAAAGCAAGCCTCTCAAGACCCAGTTAATATTTAATTAGCAGTAGTCCTAGTTTCTTCTTGCTAACATTCTTATCAAGAAACTCTGCAACACACGGCTGGTGAACAACCAGCACATCAGGCGAATAACAGTAATTCAACAAGCCAACACAACTAACTTGCTGTACATCATCCCACTCCGATTACATAATGCTTCTTTTTTGTTTAACATGGATCTGGTTTTCAGAGAGCATATGGCACTGCACACTTTCCTGACTTATCATCCCTGGTGTAAAAAAAATGCTTCAATGATTTAGATCACGCAAACTTTCATCTCATCACATTTCACTTTTTTTCTCTAATGAATATTGCAGAAACAAAACGTGGAGCAGAAAGGATGTACACTGCATAATAGTTTCATAGCTCTATCTGTTTTTTTTTTTTTTTTATCTTACCCTCTGAAAAACCTTTATGATGGCTGAAATATTGTTTTTGGATTCTGCTCCGGTCATTTAAAGCATTAGCTGTCCATTAAATGTCCTGCATCCATACTTTTCATTCATTGCCTTTTCTTAATTTGTTTGGTATGTCAGAGTTTAAAGGTGCTCCAATCAGCTCATTTCAGAGGATACTTCTCTCTGGATGAGGCTTTTTATCCAGGGATCAGTTGTTATTTTAAGTAAAATCTTAAAACAAGCAAAAAAAATATAGAAATATCCAACTAGCATTGACCTAAAAGCTTTCAAATTGGTTTCTTGTTGGTTCTGGCTCAAAATGCTACCCTCACGAGATGAAAACAACTGAGGATGAACCTCAAACTGTGCCAAAGAAAATCCACTTACATCGACTTTCATACATGCTTCTGGACTGGGCCCAGATCTTGAATGGGTCTGGCTTCTTCTGGAGGGTGAGAGTGCCATCTGCTGGGTCTTGGGGGGGCAAGACCGGCAGAGGCTGTGTGGGAGCAGCAGGAGTGGGGACCACTGCCTCACTTGGCATGGCAGAGGGTGGGTGGCTTGGAGAGTCGGTGTGAGCGCTTCGATGGCTGCAAACGCTGTGCTGGGAGCTGGTCTGACTGTCCTTTCTCTCCAACTGGTGCTGGGTGGATGAACAAAAAAAGAAAGGGCTTTGAGTGCAAAAAGACCAGCAGGTTCGACATTGTGCTTTAATTACCACATTAAACTGAATTTTTCTTGACTTCAATTATACAAAATATATTACAAACTACATGTTAAAAAAACAGTTATATGCACAAAAATGGGTTGATATTACTTTTTTGTTCTCTGTATTAATAAAAGGCAATGGTAAATGGCCTGTACGTATATACAGTACTGCGCTTGGTAGAGAAAACATAAAAAAACTAATTTGGTCAGTTTTTTCTTAATGAAACATAAAGAATATATTATTAAAGTCTTCCAGGAGCAGTTGAATATTTCTTAGAGCTCTGGAATTCAAAGCATTAACGTTGCAAGAATATCAAAAATTGAAACTAAAACATTATACACATGTAAATTTAAAGTCCAATGAAGAAGTAACGGATGGGGAATATTTCACATCTCAGAATCTGTTCCATCATCAAAGTTTTCCACTCCCTTGTCTTCATTCATGTTGCTATCAGTGCTTTTCTTTAAGCAAACTATTAATCTTTATTAATATGTATAAAGGTGATGAGCCAGTTTGGAGAAAGTAAAAAGTAACGACAATTGTGTTAAAATGTAGAGAGAAAAAGTAAAAAGTCCTCAGAAAGAAAAATATACAAGGAAAGTACAGATACAGACAAAATCTACTTAAGAAATATTTATACTTCTCAGTAGAGTGTATACTTCTTTCTGTAAAAAAAGTATTTAAACGTCTTTGCTTGACACCCCTGATGACAATTATAAGTGAGTCAGGGGGAGGTATGAACTACTGGAATAGACATAAGATGAGGAAATAGGGAAGAAAGATCAGAGAAAAGTAATAAAGAATTGACAAGAGGAGTGAAAATAGAGGACAGAGAGGGGGAGGAAAACCATTCAAGGTCATCTTTTTTAGATATTGCTATATAAGTTACTCCATGTCCATGGTTTCCATGGATGCAGGAAACAGACAGGCTGAAATGAGGCGAAGGAGATGTTGATTTTTTTTTTATGAATTGATTTCTCTTCATCGTAGAGTATACATCTTTTTAATCAATTTCAATTTCCAATAAAAAATAAATAAAAAATGTGTCCAAAAATAATCAAAGCATTAGCATGTATCACTTGGATTTAGACTAAAGCATGTTCTCTGATTTAAAAAAAACAAACAAAAAGCTAAAGATATAACAAAGACCTGATCAGGTCAAAAAAGCCCCTTAGGAAAGCAGCAACATCAAACATTGACAGAAGTTTATAACAGAAAGGGTTGGATCAAAAATATTCATGCGGAAAAACTGCATGTCAAAATTCAAAGTTTACATCTAAATGAGATTTAATCGATTGTTCAATAAAAAATAGGTAAAAATGTCAGTGTAAAGCTAGTATGGTAAAAAACGCCACCTGCAACTGTAATAATAGCAGAACTGTTTCTAAAAGATATTGATTCAGGGGAGTTTAGTACATATTTTGATTCAAGCTCACTAATTAATGTCATTCTACTTTATGGTCAGGCTGTACCACTCTTTGTTCTTCAATATTAAAACTCTCAATCAGAAATGACATCTTCTAATGGGAATATGTGTAAAAGTCATTGCCAAGTGTTTAAAAGCTTTCTTTAAGATCCTCCTTTTTTCATTAGATTATATGATGTAGAAAGTACAGAATGTACAGATTTTAATGTTAATATTTATTGAGCCGGCAAAACAAACCAAGGAAACTATCTTTCCAGTCATATAACAATAAATCCTACTCAAAAAATGCAATTACTGACAGTAATATGGGGCAACATTGACAGGTGAATCTCTCTTTATCTATTGCAACTAATAAGAAGGGCTTTGAAATGGTACAGAAGTCATTCCATTCCACTCATCAAACGTTATGAGATGAAGGGTCAAATTCCCATAATGCTTCATAATGAGGACAACAGACACACAAAATTGACTTCTCGTTCAATCACAGGAGTATTCCTAATGAGGTGGGATAGTGCGTACTTCTCCTGAATATCAGAGCTTACTGCAAGCATCTACTCAGGATGGACTGAGAGCAAAGCGGATGTTTTTGGCTAACAGAAAGTCACATGTGGCGTGACATTTTCCAGACATAACATAGGAGAGGAATCCAGCTTTTTCTTCAATGAACACTAATCTGGAGTGACACACAGCCATGGCCACTCTTGATCCCTCCGACCCCTGTAGCCCATCAGCCTTCTCTGACTGCCACACATGTGACCTGGAAAGGTAACTCCTGTTTTCCTGACCAGACTGATTCTAATCCTTATATATCTAGTTCGCCAGGGGGAAGCTTTAGAAGCCAATTAACAAGCATAAGAAGAACACTCTCACTGTTTGGTGATAAGAAAATTTGCTTGACCCTAAGCTTCTTTGCAGATATGGAAAAAAATGTTGGCACCAGTAATAATCTCACATTAAAATAAAATAAAAATCCTGACTTCATTTATCTAGTGGGGATGTGATGGATGCTCTTTGCTGTAAAACTCCATTAGAGAAAGTTTAAAGCATTCATGTTTTAACAACTTTTTAGATAATTTAGAGTCCTTGAACATTCAGACTGGGCTTTGTGCTCCTCAGCTCCGCCCACAGGTTTTCTGAAGGATTTAGGTGTAAAGACTCGGGTAGACACTTATAAAGGGTGATTTGAGTTTGGTGAACCATACCAACATGGGTGTGGTCAAATGTTTTGGCTTCTTACACTGATCACAGACCACTATTTTTTCAGTTTAAAGGCAAATTCTGTGCAAATGTATTTTATTAAGTGCTCAATATCTGAAGGAGTCTCTGACACTATACTTTGTTAAACAGCCCCTTTTGTATTTAGGAGAGAAAACAGGCCCAGAGTTGCTATAACATCTTGATTACTCCAAGAAGCCATCTAAGGCTGCAGGTCTTGAATAGTGAAAGCTGGTCATTCTTTAACAAGTTTTACCATCCTGGTCACTTTGAGGGGGCAAGATGAATGTGGCCAGTGGCTATGAGAAATTAGCATTAGGGTCATGTCCCATTTCTAACCCACGAAAAAAAAAAAAACAATCAACACTAATTTTCTCCAAGAAAATCTGTCCAGCTTAGAGTGTCTAGTTACCATTTTTATTTGAAATTGGCAGTAAGGGGCAAACTAAGTGGAACCATCGCTGACTTTGTTTAAAATAAAGGTTGCTTGTTGGTTACAGTGGTAGAAAATGAACATGCCCATATGAAAAATTGGATTTGTCCATATTTTTCAGTGAGATTATGCTACTCCACTTAAGAAAGGATTTATTATGAGGCAGTTTGAACATCTTTATTGTTGTTGCCAACACAAATTTATCTGAATCCTTAATTAGGATCATAAAAGTAGTTCAGATCAGTTTGCTGAAAATATGCACATAGTTTAAACTGGTATTCATTTTTTACACAAGCTGAGATGAAGTATAGAAACAAGGAGGCGTTTGCTCTTTAAACTCTTGTCTTACCTCCAAGGAGGGAGGTTGTTCAAGAATTGTCTTGCTAATTATTTTCTAGCTTTTCCTCCATTACATTTTCTTAAAACCCCAATTTTTAAGTATGGCATTATATCAGCGTTCCCTCTTTCATCATTCATGCATAATCTGGGTGACTCCCAGCTGTGTTTCCCTTCCTTTACCTTTTCTTGGTGCCTCTTTCTCTGAGCTGTGGCTGTCTGCTCTCCTCAACAACTGCTCACAGTTACACTGCTCTGCCCAGGCTACGCTACGCTCAATCAGTCACTGAGTGGCAGCATGGCAATAAGGGTTGGATTGTAGGAGAAAGTAAAGAGGATATTACAGATAGAAAACAGACAGGAACAAGATTCAAGTTGGAAAAAAAAATCCCACAAAGCTTGCAGAAACAACAGGAGACTGATAATGAAGAAGCAGAAATTGCTTAAGCTTAAGATCTCCATCCCATCTCACAAGTCCTCGCCTTCTGTTCTTAAAATAGCACTTGTTTCAGAGAGGAGTGTGCAGAGATATGCAAACAAAGAGGGCAATTGAAGAAATAGTACTCACCACCAGCTTTGGGCTTCTCTTGGCTGGCACCACGCCTGCAAAACATCGGCACAAAGACAGAGAGAGCATTAATGACCTGCGGTGCTCCTCGTCTGTCCCCGTTGGTTAAATCCTCCTCAGGATGAGAAGATGAACCCTCATGTTCAAGCAGTAGAGCAAAAGGCAACTGGCCTGCTCCCTTGCCTTGTTCTGCCTTCTCTTCTCTCTCTCTTACAGAGCAATGCACTGCACTGATTGCTGATCTGAGTGGTCTCCTCCCCCTTTTTTTGTATCCTGCTTGAGTCAGCACACTCAGCCACACTCACTACTGATCTGACAGCGTTAGATGGACTGACGGATACAGCAGAAGCAGCTACAGGTCCCTCTGACGCCACTTCTCTAGGTGAAATCTCAACTTTTACCTATACGGAATAAGCTACTAAAGAGGAAAACCCTCTTTGCGTGCTTCTTCTAAGTGACTTAAGGGCTGCTTCCCCCTCTCCTAACTCAGTATTTATGTTCAGAAGCTGATCTTCTACTTCTGTCCCCCTTTTCCCCACCACTCTCTGCCCCTCCCCTCCAACGTGCAACATGCCTCACTGTGCCTTTATCTCCCCTTCCATCTCACTCCTACACTAAAACTGTAAAGAGTAACCAAGAAGATCAATCTCATTTGTGCCAATAAAATATTCATGCCTGCAGTCAGATGTCAGGGGAGGCAGCACACAACATATCAGTATAGGGAATATTACACAAGACATTTAACCTTTCCAAATATCTCTCATTATTTACAGGAAAGCCTCTTCTACCTCAAATAGGAAATCCACTGAGACCCAACCTGGTTGTTTAACCCACACAAGGCTCCTTCATCTTTTTCCAAAGCAACTCCACCTCAAGCAATGCAGCTCACCTTTTTTTTTTTTCCCTCAGCACAGAACATGGAGACAAAAATAGACAAAATAAATGCACGGAAGACAAGAGACAGGATAAGGACGAGGGTTGGCTGTTTCCAAGGCGATTTGTTAGTTTTTTTTATTTTGTTGAAAATATTAAATAATTTAAATATTAACATTAGACCTTTCATATCCTGGTATGTCTTCCTGTCTGCTATGAATAACAAGTAGATATTTTTTTGTCCTATGAAGAATGAGTGTGGATAGGAAACTTCCTTTGATATTACCACACATCATGCAAACATTAACACCAGGCTCCTTCTGCTGCATTGGCAAAAAAAAAAAAAAATCATTAAATGTTAAAAGTCTCTATTGCTGCAAAGCCCCTCTCCACTCGATTTATAATTCATTGACATCTCTTTTTTGTCTTGCACATTCTCTCCATCTCTCAGATTATGGGACACTTCTTACTGGACCGAATGGATAATCTCGGCTGCTGAACAGAGGCTTAATTGTTTTGTTGATATTGTTTATTTTCCTGCCTGAGTAAATGCAGATATGTTATTGGGTGAAGCTAATCCAGGAAACACATCCATCAATGGGTCAGATGTCATGCCAATAATAATTGTTTCTTATTACAACTAATTGTTATGTGAACCTTAAGCTCTAACTTGACATTTTTGAAGGACAAAGCAAAGGGACCCCCTAAGGGGCAAATATCACGTTTTGGATAAAGAAAACATTTTTGACAGACTGAAGTATAAAAAAACAATTCCAATCGGCTTTCTGACTGTCTTTCAAAGATAGCAAATTTTTTGGAAATGTCTTTTGAGTCAGAAAACTACTGAAACTAAGCATGCTAACATCAGATTTTTACAACATAAGGATATTTGAGTAGGGTCATAAAGTTGAAGAAGTAGTCTTAAAGAAAAAAGAATGCATAAAGGGGAGGATGTAAAGTAACCAAATACACTGCTCCAGTCAGGATGGAAAGTTGATTTTCATTACACACTCTCTGAAGGTTTCTTAATGTGTAATAACATCTTCATATCTGCATAACCTGAAGTGGTTCTGTTATGCTGGTGTATGCATAATATGACTAAATCATTTATGAACACTTGAGGGTTAGTGTAAAAATCCAGGAACTGCATGATGCTGCTTTATTTAACAAAAAAAAAAATGCCATACATAAATGCATGTAATCAGAAAGTCTGCTTTATATGATGTGCAAACATATTGTTAATGCATTGACAAATAACATTTAAATAGTGGGGTAAACACAATATTTAACTCATATATTTAACTTGCTGCTTATTAATCATAATAGGGTAAAAAACTAATGACATGTTAAAGCAAAACTAACTTTTTCCCCAAGTATTAGCTTAAATTGAGATTATCAAAGGAAACCAGCTTAAAAGACTTATTTTTGTTAAAGCCCAGTTAGGGGCTGCACTGTGGGGTACTGACAGAAAATGTTTAACAAAACACAATGGGAAGGACTCTGATCTTCTCCAAACAAATACAGTATATAAATAATGTTATACACACGCACTGTTTTAATGCATCTGCTGTCTTCATGTAGATGCAGCATTTGAGCTGGGCCATACAAATATTGTGTTATGACCAGAGAGCATTACAGTGATTCAAAAACTTAGGCATTACTGCACCAGCGTACTCAGTAGGAGATTCTAATGAGGTTGTCTGGAGTCAAAATACTACAGATTTAAAGTATAATATAATAAAAAAAAAACTAAACTCATCTGCTTCAATAAGTTGAAATATGCTGGTCGAGATTCTCAGTCATCCAGGTCATAGTCATTCCAAGGTTAAAAAAAAACAGTCCACTGGATTTAAGTTGAAATCACGAATGATTTCTTTAATTTAATATGATAGCGAATCTTTCAAAAACACTTTCTTTAAGCACATCTTATTTTGCCTTTTAACAGTGGGAAAAGCCCAGATAATCATGTAATGGTTAATTATTATGGAGGTCTGGTGATGCCTAGATTTTATTGTTTTTATTTTAATGAATTATTTCCATTACTGCTCCTTAAGTAGTTATGGTTAATATTATATTCTTGACCTAAGTTACACATCTTTCGAAGGGGGATAATTTTTTCCTTCAGCAGGGTTCGTAGTGGTCTCAGCTATAAAATAAATTCACATAAAATGCATACTTTTTCTCTTGATTAAAAAGAAAGATATAACACTGTAACAAAAGATTGTGTATTTCTGCATGTTTACGCTAAGAGTTAATAGTTACAGCACCGTACGTTTAATGAGCAAGTTTTGGAAAAGAAAAAACAAATTAAAATTTAAAAAAATTAAATGAATTAAAGGAAAAAAAACATAATGGGAATAATTTCTTGGGATATTTTTAAACTCCTAAATGAAAAAGAAGAAAATGACTGTATCCAAAATATTCCTGCTTATATCAAAATTGTTAAAAAATGAAAATTGCAGGCATTTAACAAATTTCACAGCTCATTCAGGCTCTAATTAGTAATATTGGAAAATTATTTTTGCAGCCTTGGTAATCAAACAAAATACAAATGATGAGAAAAAACAAAAACCTTGAAGTCAGGAAAGTTAGCTACACTCTTTGACTGCATTGCTCTATATTGTTTAGAGAACAACAAAATGTAAATTACCTTAATGAATTAGTGCATGTCTAAAGAAAGAGTAACACCCTCCTTATCACACAATAGAAAATTTGCATTATTCCAGAGGAATGCCTGAAATACTAGTGATTAATAAGACCTTTATCTTACATGATTATTAGAATCAAACTGAAATAGGGCCGGTTCGGTATATATAAGAAATTTCTCTAAGCTAGGTTTTCTATATCAATCATAAAATGTTCTTTTTATCTTATGAAGAGCAACAGCAGCCAATCTTTAGGGTATTGGAGTTGTGGTGTGGCCCCAAAGGATGTACGCAGGTTTATCATTCTTTCATCCCATAAAAAGGCTAAATCTTTTCACATGAACCTGCAGCTGTTTGAAAGGACCTCTACTTCTCTAAGCTGCTGTGGCTGTCCTTGGTGACTCTTTCTGAGCCCACACGGATTCAGTGAATAGTCCATCCTCCAGGCTTTCTATGTCTTTTGTAAAAAAAAAAAAAAAAAAAAAACTGTTTGTTTTTCCCTCACTTCATCTATTCTATGTTATTTAGTTGTGTTAAGTTGTTGTAAGTTTATTCCTCCACAATGATTCCCTCTTTATCATATTCCCCTTCCTTTTTGTCTCTTCATTTTCTGTCTTCTGTTACTCCTTTTCTCTGGGGATGGAAGCACTCTGCAAGATTGTCATAGCAACAACAGCAGAAAGACAAGATGGAGGAGTCATAACTGGCCTGCCCTCCTTTACAGGGATTCGTCTCTGTGGGTGATCGCACGCAATGGAATCTTGAATTTTGTAGATGATTGATGCTTACTTAATCAAAATTTAATTTTGGTTAAGATCTGTGTCTAATAATTTCTGATGAGATTTTCAATAATCAATTGACTTTAACTTACAAATAATATATAAAACCAAGTTACATTAGAAAAAAATGTTTTTTTCAGCCTAGATGGTAAATTTAAAGTTTGAAATTAGCCTAAAGCCAAAACACATTTACTCAGTGGAGGATGTCAAAGAATGTATATACTGTAATTAACTAATATATATATAAAAAACACTGTAGAATCTTGATACAGCACATAAAGCTCCCCACCATGGTTTAGGGTAGGGGTCTGCAACCTGCAGTTCCAGAGCCACAAGTGGCTGTGTTGACCTTTTACAGTGGATCTTCATCACTTTGATTAAGAACGATAACCAACAAATGTTTAAAAAAAAAAATCAGGATATATAGATATAACAAAATCAGGTTCTATCAGTTATTCTAAATTTACATTGAATAATTGCACCGATTTTTAACGACAGAATGACTCTGAAGTAGCATTAATATATCTTTAGATCTATTTTTTTTGCCATTAGGTTTAGAACAATGTCATTTTTATACAAATTTTTTCTTACATATATCAAGAAGTAATAATAGAAAATAATTACTTGATCTTTTAATGTTACCACTGATATAACACAGTAGGCATTTACAAATATATACATTAGTTTATATAGGTGAATCAAAGTTGCCATTTCAAATGTGTTTTCCTGAACTGTGGG